CTCTGAACGGGAAGCCGTCCTTTTATATTGGTAACGATCGCTCTAGATTCCTCCAGGGGTTTTGGTACTCATCTATACTTTTCGCGGCGGTTCGCGGTGAGTCATGTGTTTGCTGGCTGAGATATCGGTCAGGGCCGGCTTCAGATTCGTTACAGTTCAAACGTGTCTTTTGAAGGTTAGAGTTAACTAAAAATCATATGGATTAACACCTGGGGTGAAAAGTCCCGGACCTAAGAAAGAAAACGTGTTATTTTGAAGTGATAACTTCTTATGGGAGGGTAAACCGCTTAGTAACGTAACGTAACGGCCGAGCGATGGCGACCACGGAGCAATGGGGAGAAGTATCTCGCGTGGACCCTAAATTTCGTTGGGTCGGTCGTGCTGGAGTAGTGTCGTGAGCGGAATGTCACGTCATCATAACACAAGTTTACCTCGAATTATTTAATACCTTCAGTAATTGGAGAACGGAGTTATTATTACCTAGAGATGGTGTACATTCAATAAATGAAGATAAAGTAATTTTGGCGATTTTCTACCCTTTATTATGAGCTAACATGCCATCTAAAAAAAATTACAACTATACAATTATTTCATTATGTGAAACATGGCTTGAAAATGATGATGCCAATTTTGTGTATGTACCTTATTAGTATCATCATTTAATCTTACAAAAGTAACAATTGGCCTATGGTAGATATAATATAATATGTACATACACAAAGTATTCAATAAAAGATTTTATTGATAAATAACCTTTCCTTTTATTATCATATTAATATACATAAAATTTGAGTAATAACCTAAGCTTTTTTCAAGTTGAAGACTTTCAATATTGAATAGTTTAACTTTGATTAGTTTAAGTTACCACTTCTGTAGGACATCCCGACACACACCTTTCTTTTTTTATTAAATTGGCTATATTCATCAATATAATCTCTATTAAGAACCACTCTAACATTTCAATACCACTTTTGTATAACGATTTATCTTTTGTCCCAAAATAGGCCTCAGTTTCACCAATAACCTCTTCATACGAGTGAAATTTCTTACCGGTCAGCATTTTTTGTAAGGTCTGCCAACAGCCAGTAGTCGCTGGAAGCCAAATCTGGTGAATAAGGTGGATGTGGGAGAAATTCGAAGTCCAATTCATGTAGTTATGGCATTGTTTTGATTGACTTGTGACACGTTCTGCATCATCGCTGTCTCTACGACCACATTTGAAGTCAGCAAACCAACGTTTAATTGTTGTTTCTGATAGAGCGGAGTTCTTATAACACTTTTCAAACCATTGCTTCGCTTGAACGGTATTTTTTCCCAACAAGAAGCAGTGTAAAATTAAAACACGAAATTGTTTGTGATAAATTGTTTTGAAAATAAAAGTAATGTCACTCTTAGCACAATAACTCATAAACTTATCGGTAGAATATCATAAAATTTCAACAGCTTTCTTTTGAAGGTTAGTATTAACTGAAAGAGCGGTGAATGCAATAAGACTATCGCCATCTATGTGTTCGGCCCGACAATTTTTGACCCATGTATTAATCCTAGTAGCGCCATCTGTGGGTTAGCCTATGAACTTTTCAGCTCATCTGCTGGTATCTACGTATTTTAAGCTTCCTTTTCCCGACATCACCAATTTACCAATTTTCCTAACACTTTCTAAGAAGAAATGTTTGTTTATTGTAATGAACAGACATCGACTTTGTTTGAACTCAAGCTTTTGCGCTAAAAGTGGATGCAAGGTTATCAAAGATAACTTGCAATCTCAAATGTATTAGTAAATATATCACAAAAATTCGTCTGATTCAAAGAACAAGTAGACATTATCCGAATAAGGTCAGTTTTGAAGCGAAACCTTGAGGATCTAATAATATGTCATTATTACAAGAACATTCCACGTGTTTTTATAACATAATATAAATGTAAGCCTTAGAGTTCAGTAGTGCGCTATAAATAATTTGGAAAGGTGGGGTCCTGCTCCAACTTTCCAATCTACTGATTACTCACATTGATACAGTTTATGTGCCCATTGAGAGACCCCTAATTAACCCATATCATCATACTTGGACCATGAAATAAATTTCAATAATTGAATAATAGCTTAACTACCGGGTTTCCACTCCAAAAGAATTTACTTCATGTTGTGAGAGAAGAAAAGTTTCCTCATATTAATGAATAACGAAGGTACAACCATTACATGATAAAAACGTGAAAGTTGAAGCAGATAAGTTTTACTACTTATCAATTTTCAAGTGGCGAATAATGAAGTGAAAGGTAAAACTGAAAATATACATTCGGACCTGAAAACCAACTCACAAATATGAAAAAATGTACTTTCCCAAAACCTTGGCGAGGTCATAATTTTCGCCACCGGTAATTGATGGTATCATAGGCTTTGCATACTGTTATTGGTATTATTTTTTTTAGAAACAACATCGTTGCTACTATGGTTAGATGTTCCCTTCTATATCCACATCCGCAAAATATCCGCATTGATCGCCGTAGGACTCACCAGTGGGGCTATACTGGATCACGCTTGCATTGTAGGTCTCAACTTATCTTAAAGGACAAACCTAAATATGAATAGCCTATGACAGCTTTTTTTACAAAGACTCCGTCTGAGAGATCGATCATTAATGAAAAAATGACTTAAGTCGAATATTTGCAACAGACCACCTTCTGGTAATCCTTCATGAGCTTCGAACTGTATATCGTCGAATCCCTGCAGGTTACACCTCGGTAGTTCTCAGTTCGTGCAAGTATTGAGGCCTGGTTAGTGAAAAAGTTCATTTCAATCAACACTCATTCGGTTTTGTAACTTTCGGAGTCGATTGGCGCCCAACGTGGGGCACTTATTTATGTAACGAATCGAATTATTAGTCGATAGATATAAATGTCACTTGTACCTGTACTTACTGGAACCTGGAACCTTAACAATCTTGCTGCCTGTTGTCAGGGATACTATAACCGACTGGTCCGGGAGGCAATAGAGATCCACAAACACACGGAGAATTTCAACAGAAGAGAAGAAGCGGTGAACCTCCAGCGAATATGGAACCCCATTTTAAGGAATTCTAGAACAACGAACAGAATGACAACAGGCAGCAAGATTGTTAATGTTCCAGGTTCATGTCCAGGTACAAGTCCAAGTACAAGTACAGGTACCAATACAACTGATAAGGCATAAAAACGCTTTACGAAGCCTAAAAGTTAGTCATCGGACAGCAAGCCATGATGGTTAAACCTCTGAAGAAGCTAGCCTCTCGCGCCAGCGAAACGTCAGGAAGAAATTCCAAAAGTCTACGGCTTTCAAACTCGATTATAACGGTGATTATAACGGGAAATTTAATTCACTTAAAAATGAATCCAACTATAGAGGAATGGAATGGAGTGAACACCGAAACTATACCTCTTCAAGCTGTAGGTATTAAAAAGATCTACAACTTCAGATGGAACCATTTATTCACACCAAATAAAATTTTGAAGGAACATTTTTTCTTTTGATTTTATTTCACGGAAATTACGTATTTCCTACGTTATTTCATGGAAACTTATTCAAAAATATCTATTTTTTTAAGGACGAAACACAAGCAGCACAGGGAAATCCTTAGGGCGCCTTAAGAGCGGTGCCTGTGCGAAAGTAGCGATTCACATTGGAGTCGAATCGCTGGAGATTATACAAGGTATATCGTGACGAGTTAACGCGATCTATATATAGAAAACTGAAAGTAGGGCGATTCTGAAAATTGATAGGATGGATGAAGAACTAACGGAGAATTCAACTGAAATATTTTCGTATTTCACCTCATTTTTGAATTCTTCCCATGATTTAGATTCTAACTCATGTATCATACTCTGTATCCAAAAGGAACCGTTTTCGAGTTATTCGAGTTTTTTCAGAAAAAGTGACAGATACAGCCTCTCGAACATACGTCATTTTCATGTAAATTAACATTTTTTAAAATATGCAGCTGGTGAATCGTGATAATTGAAGGTTGAACGGATCACGCATCATTTTCACGTCCACTGAATAATCCACAGGGCGCGCAAAAATTGGGGTCCAATGAATGAACGGAAAAAATTAAAAATCTCAACTTTTTCGAATGGGAACCCCCATTTTTTTCCTCGAGTTTCAATTCTATTATGGAAATGAGCCCTAGTTATGATACACTTCCCTATACCCAAAACTTATAATTTTGGTGATATTCCGCAATAGAAGTTATTATCACGCGAGGATTTACGTTTTTACCCCCCAATTTTGTCCGATAAAATTTCTTTGTTGCCTAATTTCCATTGAATATCTCATGAAAAATAATCCCATATTCAAGACAAAAATCATGATTAGAATAAACAACAATTTCAAATTTAGTTTCAATGCTAAGCAAGAACATGTGACACTTTTGTCAACCGCTTTTTTTATAGCAACAAATGTTCAAATACATTGCCTCCAACTTCAAAGTATTTTACACTTCTCCGTATGACGTCTTCTTCTGCTCGTCTTATCATGTCCGGTGGAATAGAGTTGAAGAAAGCAGTACGAATTATCTGCTGAAAATCTTCTTTTGTTGTTGGCGTGTTAGAATACACCTCGTTTTTTATATAACCCCAAATAAAAAATCCATAGGAGTTATATCGGGCGATCGCGGTGGCCATAATTGAGGACCGTCGGTTCCAAACCACTGGTCGTAATAAGTTTCTTCTAAATACATCTTCACTATCTGATGATTATGTGGAGGTGCTCCATCATGTTGTGTAACGAAAAATTTGAACACTTCAGAAACGTTGGGATAATTTTGTTAACCTGGGTATAGATCCCTCAGAGAGAATCGAAATGACTTTACTAAATCAACAAGTAACGCGGTAGATATTTGGAATAAACATATTTACTAGGGTAAGGAAAGTTGCATACCGTATGCTAATTGAAAGATTTAATTGATTTAAATATTGGAATTCAAATTTGCGCATGTCCCGACTAACAGAACGGTAAAGAGATTGAGAACGAAGGAGTCGAGAAGATTAGCTGGTACAAAATTTTTCGTTGGTTTATCAAAAGAAGCGAAATCACATTCCTGTACCTGTTGATATGTAAAGGAATTTTGGAGGCTGTTCTGGGAAGAAGGTAGGTTGCATCCTTATCCGTTTTGACAATTATATCGTTGAATCAAAAGTTAAATTCAATTCCTATTTTTGTAGATCTGTCAGGCCTCCATACCTTATCATATCAATAACGCCGTTTTTACATATAAATTGGTAACACGGAGATTACTATTAATCACAATAATTCATTGGTGCAGTTGGATAGGAAATGATGAATGAATAATTTTCATCTTGGACTTCAATCAGTTGGATCCTAAGGTCAGACCGAATCTATTTTTTATTTCATATGGAAATTGTGCAAGGACGTAGGAGAAATTTCCCCGTGTACCGTTAGAATTCCAGCATATATCCCTTCCTGGATTATTTAACCTTCCCTCCCTGATTTTGCAAAAGGCGAGCTCTGGATTAGAAAAGATAATCCTAACAAATATTTAGTTCCCACATATACGTACTATTATTGTGACCCTTGGGGTCGTTCGAAAGAAAATAAGTGTTAATTTTGAAGTGTAAGCCAAGGGTAACGTTACTCCGGGTACCGATATTTTTTTATATATTAATTATTAATATACAATATAATATTTATTGTGGCTTTATTGCCTTCTCCGAAAGTCCGTGAAAGTGTTTTTTTTTTTTATTTCCCAGTTTAGAGAAAACAAGCTGGGTGGCGCCCATAAAAACAAAAAAAGAAACTAAAAGAATTCTGAATTAGAGAACGGATTTTTCATGACATTTTTCTAGACTTACTCACGACCCAGTCACCAGACGAGAGCAACCGGAGCATAAGTATCCCAAGAATTCGAAAATAACGGGATAGTTGATACCAAATTTTTCGATGGTCAGCGAGCGTCAGTTTTTCCAAATGATCCGTATCGAGATTTTTTAAAATATCTAGGTATCGTTCACTTGAAAATAAAAATACCTGTTGGTTTGTTATGTATTTTCTAGATTCTATGAATGTTTATTACATAGCTACCTGATGCCATTTAAATTTTCGTCATAGACGTGAAGCATCACTATTGCGTCGTCTTTAACAGCGCAGTAAACATTGAAATTCCAACGGTCTTGAAATTGACGTTCCCGAACTGAATGCGGGTTTGTATCGCTCTAGTAGTGAGAATTCTGCTTGTTGAATATCCCATTTTTGGTAAATTTCACTTCGTCGCTCTATATAATATTCCTCAAAAATTGGTCGTTTTCTTGATTTTTCATAATGAAGTAATTCATTATGAAAAATCAACTCCGCAAAGTTAATTCTTCTCTCATAATTGGATAGCTTCAGGCCATGGGCTAAAGTATGAGAATACGGATGCCATTTATGTTTTGCTAATATTCTCTGCATGGACATTTTATTCAATCCCAAACATCGTACCGCATCTTTCAAAGATGCTTCTGGAAAAGCAGTGAAGTACCCAAGCATTGTAATCGCATTATCTTCATTGTCAACCACCGTTTTAGTTTTGATAATTCTCCTTTCGAATGATCCAACGTTCGTAAGATTGAAGATTAAGTCTTCTAATGATATCTGGAGATGGTTTCGGTTTTTCTGGATACCTTGTAGCACAAGCATCACATGTTTTTGTTAACACCTTATTGCATTCGCCATAAATCACCAATAAGTTATAGAAATCTTGATTATCATAACCAACACGAGCCATATTGTACCTTCTGAGAGCACGAATCTGACAATAGACAACTTTATTTCACTTGTCACCAAACATTGTGTTGAAAGATGGATAGCAGCCTACTATCGTATATAGGGAAGTGTATCATAACTAGGGCTTATTTTCATAATAGAATTGAACCTTGAGGAAAAATATGGGGGTTCCCATTTGAAAAAGTTGAGATTTTTAATTTTTCTCATTCACTTATTGGACCCTAGTTTTTGCGCACCCTGTGGATTATTCAGTGGACGTGAAAATGTTGCGTGATCCGTTCAACCTTCAGTTATCACGATTCACTAGCTGCATATTTTTAAAAATGTTAATTTACATAAAAATGACGTATGTTCGAGAGGCTGCATCTGTGTGTCTCCAACAAGGCGGATGGCTTTTTTCTGGATGGAATCCAGCAACTTCAGGGTATGTTTGGGGGCGGAGCTCCATACATCAGAGCAATACTTCAAAAAAAGTCTGATCTGAGCTTTATAAAGCATCAACAGTTGTTGAGGTGTGTACAGTTTTCTGGCACGGAACTTTTTTACCTCTTTCAGTAGAGATCCTAGTTTCAATAGAAATCATGAAAAATTATTTCACCCCATTTATTCCTCGTACCCGACATTGACTTCATTTCCTATTTATCGTTATAAGCACAGCATTCTTTCTTTTCAACTATTTTTTGCATTGGTCTATTATTTAGGCCAAAGAAAAGAAGAATCATTCTAGCTGTAAGAATTATAGACAAGACCGAGTCCTCTGATTTATTTGCCATTCGAATGAGTCTCTTTAACATGAAAGTTAATCTAGGAAACCGGAAGATGGAATGATAATAAAATGTCATAAACACTTACAGCGACACACCAAAAATTGATAATGGACTCGTCTGTGAAAATGAGCTATTGTTTATCGTAGAATTTTATCACCCCCATAAAATAGTTAATACACATAAAATCCTCAGTACTCGCTCTCAGCGGAACTCTTAAAACGTTCATGGCTTTCCGTTAGAAAACAGTTCAAAGAGCTGGATGGAACTAAAATTTTTAGGGCATGTGTTAGAGATTTGCTGTCGGCATGTGTATATCTAGGAGCGCCTGTATACACACCAAGTATTTACGGGAACCTATTAATTGCCTACAGTTCGAATCTGGTTTACCCAGTAAACTACAATTAAAAGCTATTACTTGCAGGGGTTTAGCCTTTCAGATATATTCCACATTCATTGTTGCGCTAAGCGAACACCAGCAATGGCATTTATGTTCGGGGACCACCCACAGATGTAACTTATCTGTTTATATCAATAAATTTTTGTAAATGAACCATAATAATAATTATAATAATACGTTTATTATTCACCACAAATTCACAAACAATATTAAGTTTCAATTAAAAAAAGCTAGGTAAATAAAAGGTGAGAGTTCAGTTTTCTTTCAACACCAGGAAGAGAGAAACTGGTCTTCCTCTCAAACCCTTACTACAAACTGAACTTAAAACTAAAATATACTTACTGACTAGTACCAGTAAAGAAGTAGACGAGAGAAAAGCAACAGAAAAAAAAGATAAAAGAGGGAGAGACATATAGAGAAGATAGGAACCCTTTTTATAATTTATTTTCAATTGTGAGGGCAGTGATTCCTTTAGGTCATGAAACCGCTAGGTTGCATGATGACGCTGTGAGAATTTTATTTTTTGCTCTGAGTTGGGAGATATTTTCAATTATTTTTGAGCCATTCAATTTTTTTAATTTTATGGGAAATTCTCTGCCTGCTTTTTATGCCAAAAATAAGTCTCAAACAGCAGTTCTGGATTTTCTGAATACGCTGACTGTCCAAGCCATCTAAACATGGCCCATATACAATATCACAATAGTTGAATTGGGAAAGCACTAATGAATCACACAGCATTTTTTTCACATCTTGGCCAAAATAGTGTCTATGTGGGTAATCATCTTCAAGCTAGTGTAACTTCTTTCAACATAATAGGTTCGTTCCAACCAGCGTCAGAAACAGTTTCTGACACTCAGGATTCTGCGCAGTAATGTGATTGCGTTCCAACGTGAGTTTCCAACCATTACTGAACTATCAGTTTTCTGTTTCATCCAAGATTCAAACCTGTTCGAAATCTATCAGAATGGTTTGAGGATTATCTTCTAACCATCAATCTGACGCATGCGTATTCCGTATTACTGTTTCTGTTTTATGTTCATGCAACTTACAAACAACATAACCTGCAAAAATTGTTATAAAATAAATTATGTATTTGCTGGGGCAGGAAAAATTGGGAATTCTTTAAGTGAACCTATAATATGAACATCTTTAATTACACACATTAATTATTGTGGTGACCTCCCAGTTCCATGTTGATAAGTAAATAGAATAGAGATATAAAATACTGCAACCTTCTTTTACTCTCCAGAAGTACACTTGATTAGATTTATTTTTAAAGAATTGAAGGGGTTATATTTTTATGAGTGACATTCGTTGTGGAATGTTTGAAATAAAAACTGAGTAGAGAAAAGTATCTTCTGTATAATTCAGTGTTCATATAGAAGTATTTGTTTCGAAAGAATTTTTTTTCTTTCGTGTAATTCAATGTTTATATGAAAGTAGCTGTTTCAGGAGGACATTCTTTCAGTTTGTGTCTGAAAGTTACTTCTTTGCATGATCTACACATCCATGTATAGAGTTACTTATTTTCATATTGATTACTTCCTTCCTTTCTTTGGAAGATTCCCTCATCCCCTTTTTTTGATTTAAGATGGAGTAGTAGAAAGCCAAAAACTTTCTTTCCCAAATTATTTTTAAAGGTTATGTTGAAATTCCATGCCAAACTTCAGTTGAAGTATCAGCTGTTCCAATCAGAAATTTCAAATTAATCAGAAACCAATATTTACCAGACATGCGCGTTGACAACGATTTACAAACAGTTGGAAATCTGTTTGTGACTCAAGGTTGGAACGAACCTAATATTAACGTGTTCTTTAAATATCAATTTTTGATCTAGTATCAAACCCAACTTCTTTCCACTATCACTAAATGGTATTGTGTCATTTCCCATCCTAATTATGAGATCATAAGATATAGCATTCCTGACATTGTCATTACAGAACAAAATAGCAGATGACTTTTGAGGATTTATTTTGAGTAGATGTTTATCATATAAGTCTTTCAAAGATTGTAAGTCGATATTTATTTCTCTGTTAGTTTGCATGACACTATCGGGTTCAAAAGTTTTATATATCTGTGTGTCATCAGCATAAATGTGGTAGTTACAGTGCTGCAGGGTCTCATGAAATGTTGCAGTAAATCAGGTGAACAGAAGTGGACCCAAAATACTACCCTGAGGAACACCGCACGATACATGAGACAAATTAGAAGTTTGCAAGCAAAATAGTAGTGCAAGCATTTTGGTCAAACTTTGAGTAGTGAAGTTTAGATAGGATAATTCTGTGGTTTATCAAATCAAATGCTTTCGAAAAGTCCAGTGAATACCTGTAGTGCGAAAAGACAAGAATTTCAAGAGAATTATAAATGGGATACCAGATCATCGCCCCATTTTCTAGTTTGGACCTCACATAAGCATAGAATAATGTGATTATCACCTTTGTATCTCTAAATTCTCTGGTGTTCCTCATTATGGAGCCCGACATTCGACTGGCGGACGAAACAGCTTGGTCTATATGTGACACAAAAGTGAATTTCTGATCAAAATTAATGCCAAGGTCTTTCATTTCATTAACACGACTTATGGTATTGTTACCAAT